TTTTTTTTTTTTTTTTTTTTTTTTAGTAATCTCTATGCATAGTGCAGGTCTTGAACTCACGACCCCGAGACCGAGCGTCTCACGCTCTACCAATTGAGCCAGCTGGGTGCCCCAGCTTCTGTACTTTAATTTTCATGTATCCATTATTCATCCCACAACAAGTCCTGCATCAGGTGCCAGCACACACACTCTGCCAGACTCGGGAGGGACGCAGCTCACCGAGCTTGGTTTCCTCTGACTATAGAAACAGTTCTGTTAGTAATACTCCCTACAGTCTTTCAAAGGTGTGAACCACAGGCTATGTAAGGCAAGCGTAGGGACAGAGGTTAATGGTTAATATCCTAATCGAGTGTCACATATACAGGCTCATCTGGTTCATTAAATTCTACGTGTTCATTGCTTCAATAGATATTGGCTGAGCACCTGTTGTGAACCAGGCACTGTGCTAGGCATTAAGGGCACACAGATGATCGTAACCCCGGTTTCTGTGTCAAAGGGCTGAGAACCCAACGGGAGAGGTGGACGCATAAGCAGGCAGCTCGAAGCGGTGTGGCACAAGGTGCCAGAGCCCGGCAGCCTGCCCCACACGGTGCTTCCCGACACTTTCCTTCCGGCTGGCAGAGCTCTCTTCCCGTTACAAAGTGCAAATGCTTTCCTAGCTTCCCTTGTAACTAGGAAAAGGGCATGTTACCAAATCCTGCCCTGTAAATTTACTGGAAGGATTCTGGCAAAGATTTTCCCTTGAAGAGAGAGATTCCCAGAGAGGGATTTCCGACCCTGCATCTCCCACTGTTAGGACTGAATTGTCCCCCGTCTCCCCTCCTCCTTATGTGGAAGTCATAACTCCCAGAACCTCAGAACGTGACCATGACTGTAGTTGGAGATAGGGTGTCTACAGAGGGAAGTAAATTACAATGAGGCCTTTAGGGCCAAGAGCCTTGCAGACACGCTAACTTAGAACCTTGGCATCACTGGATCAACTCTGGAACCATCCGCTGTCGCGTTTGTCGTGAAGAGACAGTAAAGCCCCTGGTGTCTAAGCTGCGTTAGATGTGGGAGTCCTGAACCACGAGCATCCTGACTGATGACGCAAGGACGGAGGCCGTGTCGTACGGAGGTGGGTATGGCAGGGACACCCCGAAGAAGCGTCCAGTGGCAACTCAGCCTGGGTTTTTAAAGACACGTAGAGGGTGCCTGGGTGGCTCAGTCAGTTAAGCACCTGACTCTTGGTTTCGGCTCGAGTCATGATCTCACAGCTTCGCGGGTTCGAGCCTCACGTCGGGTTCTGCGCTGGCAGCGTGGATGGAACCCGCCTGGGATTCTCTCCCTCCCTCCCTCTCTCTGCCCTTCCCCCACTCATGCTGGCTCTGTCTCTCCCAAAATAAATAAGCTTGATTACAAAAACCAAAAAAGTAAAGATACGCAGAAAGTCATCAAGTGGGAGGCTGGACAAAGGGCGTTTCAGAAACGCAGGGTCACCCCAAGAGCAGAAGCCACCAGCTTTGCGAGAGAAATGAGGTAGCTATGAGTCTTTGGTGTCGTAGGAGGGGGTGGGCAGGGCTTGGGTTGAGGAGTGAGGCCTTGACCCCCTATGAAGGGTGTGCCTTCCCTCTGGGAGAGCGTGACTGTTCCCTCCGGGAGACTTTGCTGTTCCTTCTGTGGCCTTGGCCAGAATGCCATGAGCAGAGGCAGGGCTCCCAATCAGGAGTTTCAGGAGAGCTCAGGAGGGAGGAGGGAGCAGAATTCAGGTGGAATAGAGAGGGGGAGGGAAAACCGACAGCAGGAAGTTGAACTGTATCCCAAATGCCAAACGTCCCTTTGTGTCACTTTTTATGAAAAATCTAAAAAAGGACCGCATACTTCCCTGTCTTTTTTCAACAGAGTTGGCTAGATTTCAAGTAGCCTTTTCTTGCTGACTCATGGTCGTCACTAGGGAAGAGAGGCGTCACGGCACAGGAGAAGGGTGTGCTAGACATCGTAAGATCTGCCTTTACTCCCAGCCCCACGCGCGCTAACCCGTGTGGTCAGGGAAAAGGTCACTTCGCCTCTCTACTTCTCTTCTCCTTGGCCACCTACTTCACAGGCTTGCTGTGGGCATAGACTCAGAGAATCCGTGTGGAAGGGCTGGGCCAGCCACCAGACACCGTCTACGGAGGCATTGTGACGCTTTTTCTGGGGCCAAGCGGCCTATGACACAACGCCGCGTCCGCCCTCGACTCCTACTGTCTTTTGCTGTTGGGTTGTTGGCTTTCTCTTCCCCGACCAGACGCTCGCCTCGCTAGAAGGCCTTTTGCCCACGCCCCACCTTGACCTCCCCGGACCACGGGCTGGGAAATCAGAGGCCAGCCTCTGAATACTTTGTCCGGCGTGGCTCAGTAAGTAAGGCTCTGTGTGGAGGCCTGAGCACCTGGCTTTGGTTCAAGAGCTTTGTGTCAGCTATTTTGGGGGCCTAAAGGCCTTGTCCACGTCTGGATTGGCTGCTGCGTTCCGCAGAACCGAGCTCGCTGGGGCCGGGCCTCCGGGGTGCTCGGACGACCGAATGAGGTGTCCAGTGTTCATCCGTCCTGCTCAGTCGGTTCTCTTTGTCTGTCGTGAGGCCGGGTGCGGATTTATCCCCACCACGGATGTGCCCTGACGCGGAACCGGTCCCAAACCATGTCTGCAGCTGCTCCTTGGATTTCCTTCTTGAAGGGTTTAGGGTCCCCGAGTTCCCTCCTTACCGCCTTTGCCGTGTAAGGGGTCCTTGATCAGCACGTTGAGGGGCTTGCAGCCTCTCCCACTGACAGGGAACTTGGGATGTAAGGCCCAGGCATGGGACGTGGGTGGTCTGTTGAAATAGAGAATTCAGTGAGTCGGTGTATGGAGAGTGTTCAACACCTGGTGCACGTAGCTTAGGTGTGTTTGCATCATCTGAGTCTCAGTTTCCTTACTTGGAGTGCACGGCCAACGCCTCATTGCAAGGAGCCACCGTCATGAAGCTTCTAAAGCCCTTAGCACAGACCCTGGTGTGAAGTCTGCCCAAGAAACGGAAGGGGGTGATGCTGGTCTGAGAAACGAGTCCTGGGAGACAGTGAGGCCGAGGGGCACAGAGTCTGAGCTCCTTAGGACAGAAGGGGAGCACGGGAGCTTTTGGGACACAGGGAGTGGTGTTCAGAGAAGAGGGCTCGGTGTCTGTGTCGGGCGGGCTCGAGACCACAGTCTGGATTTCGAATCATCCAGTGAGGTAACTCCTGGGATCTGGGCAGGTTGGGTTCAGGGTGCAGAGAAGAAACATCCGGGAGGCTGAGGTGTTTGGGGACCATGGCCAAGTCTGAAGGTTTCACTTTGCATCAAGGAGCTCTCTGTGGCCTTTTGCATCCTGGGTGTCCTCCCCTACATCTTTCCTGCCTGGTCCCCATCAGGTTGCCCTGTGTGCCCGATTGCAGACGGCCAAGCGTTCTCCCACGCTCCTCTCTGCAGAGGTGGGAGCTATTTCCGCCGCTCCTGAATCTCGGCTGGTCTTCGGCTGCTCTGTCCGACACAGGACAGCCGTAGCGACTCGGAGTGAGTCCTGGCTGAGCCTTCAAGAGGCTTTGCAGCTTCTACCTGTTTCTCTCGTGGCCCGGAGCCACCGCCCGCCAGAGAAAGCACACACAGAGACCCCAGACTGCACGGACAGGGACAGGCACCAGCCTTTCCCCCATCTCAGGCAAGACACCACACACATGAGGGAAGTCATCTTGGACCCCCCCAGCCTAGCTGAGCCACCAGCTGAAACCACCGGGTAACTCCAGTCTGAGCAACAGGAAGCACAAGAATTGCCCCGCCGGGTCCTGTCCAAACTCCTGACCCACAAAATCATCCAATATAGTAAAACAGCTCTTGTCTTAGGCAGCTAAATTTTGGGGTGGTTTCCTACGCAGCAATAGAAAACAGAACCAAAGAAAATAAGGCTTATTTGCAATGTTTTGAACGGGAACAAGGAGTTTCAGGGATCAGAAGGACTCCTCATGGTGTCTCCATCAAAGTATTCCCAGAGATAACGATTAGCATATGGCAGGCTGTCAACCCCATCATTGTTGCTAATCATGGACTGAAGCTCACTGACCAGAGAAAGCCAATGATGGATTCGTCTCATGCCTGCTACTCAAATGATCTCATGTGTAGACGGCAGAATTTGGGAGAGAATCAGGGCATATTTGGGAGAGGAGACCTGCCCCTCGCCTCCCACTGAATATGGGAAGAGGGTGGAAGGCATCTGGGCAGAAAGGACTGGACTCAGTTTCCAGAACTCGCCAGCTCTGTTTTCCTTCAGTCCTAAGTGGACAAATACAAACTCAGCCCTCGGAGGGCCAGCCGTAGGCACAGCCTGGGATTGGTGGGGACCACTCCATCCCCGCACTCAGAACCCCAAATCGTGGACGGCTGAGTCACGGAGAAGTTCTGTGCTCAGGTCACCCAGCACGTCGGTGGGAGAGCTGGACGTGGGGTCCTGGCTTCTCCTGGGCTCTCTTCCAGGGGGATTTTCTAGGCACCGTGATGCTTCCTTCACTCCCGTTGGTGAGCACAGGAGCACACTTCAGTAATAGTCATCCGGCAATTTTCTAGAACCCTGATTCCCAGAGGGTCAGCCCTCTTTTCTAAGCGTTACCTTCCGTCACTCTGAGGAGGTAGGTGGGGCGGGCGTTGGTCCTTGGTTCGCCGTCTTTGACAGGCAGTGGGCTTGCACGGAGCTCAGAGCTCAGCGAGAGGCGGCTGGGTGACGTGGGGAGAATTTCGAAGGGGTCAGTCCAGTCCTGGGATATGGCATCTGCTTCCTCCGAGTGGGTGGGGGGAGGCAGGGAGCCATGAGTAAGCAGGCTAAGCAATTAGAGTGTAGTGTCGCTCCTGGAGCCGGGCAGGGAAGGAGGGCAGATGTGCTGGTCGCAGGAGGCCTCTCGGAGGAGGTGACAGGCACGGATCGTGAAGGAGGAGTGACAGCGGGTATCTAGGAGCAAACGTTTTGTGCAAAGTTGCAGAAGCAGAGACAAGCACGCTCATGTGCGAGGCCTGATAAGAAAATCGCCCGAGACAGAGCACAGGCTGAGGAAGTAGAGACACGGCGGGAGGTCTGGACTCAGAGGAGCCCGTCCTCTGATCTGGGGGCCCCAGGTATGAGGCATCTGGTCCCAAGGCCAAACCTCCATCCACGCCCCCGACTTCCCTCTGCGCTTTAGGCCTCCCGCTAATCCCGCTAATCCCGCAGCATTTGCCGAGAGCCCAGAGCCGGGCCCTGCCTGAAGCCCCGTGCGCACTTCTCCTGTGACCGAGGGGAGTCTGCGCTTGGTCCGCAGGAGGCCGGAGCACGACAGCGCTGAGAGATAGGGTGACACAGGCTTGGCACCCTGCCATGCGGAGCCCTCCTTGTTCACGGTGGCAGGGGCAGGGCGGGGAAGGGGCCCAGGCTGCCGTGGCCCCCTTGGCATGGGAGGGATGGCCTGCCTAGGGCGGGCTGCCTCATTTGTGAGGCCCAGGGCTCAAACATCACTTCGGGATGGAGACGGCGAGTCCCGGTCCTCCTGAGTGAGGGACCCAGCGCCACCGTCTGGATTGCGGCCCTGAAACGCAGCGGAGGGTCACTGTGGAGACGAAGGAGGGCCAGACCTGGGTTAGCGGTTACTCCCCGCTGTGCTCGGGAGATCGCTCAGCGCCCTCCTTCAGGGAGGGCGGGCGGCGGGCAGGGAACTGGTGCTACCAGATGGGAGCCGAGGGCAAGGCCGTCGTCTGGCAGACCGTCCTCAGAGGACCTGTAGCTCCTGGAAACGCGGGGGGGGGGGGCTGCCCCCCGGTGAGGCTGGCGGTGCACCCAGCCGGAGTCTCACGCTGTGTACGGGCGCGTGCGTGCCCGGGACACAAACGCGGGAGAGCATCTGGGCACTTCTGTGAGCCCCTCTCCATTTAAGGAGCCCTTGCGGTGCGTCTAGCCCTGCGCTCAGTAAGGAGGCCAGGAGGCAGAGACCCAAGGGAACGGACAGTCAGTGTTCCTGGCCTCAAGGGATGTTTGCTCTCTGATCGTGGATATAAGGGTTCTAAACATTAAATGATTAGAAGACGATGCCAAATAACGTGTAATTACGCTGTCAGTTAAATACGACAAAGCCCCAGAGTACAGGCCACCAGGGTTACTTGCTGAGCGTGTCTGTAGAGGACAAGCCAGGTGGCTCTGACGAATCAGCGAGAGGGCTTCCTGAGCAGTGCAGCCCCGAAGGACTCTGAAAAGTGGCCGGGGCCGCTAAGAGCTGGCGTGGGAAGCAGGGGAGTGTTCACAGCTCGGGAAGGGAGAGCCGTGTGAGCCCTGCAGGTGACCAGACAGGCGGGGAGGGTACCAGGCAGAAGAGAAAGCTCCCAGGAGGCACAGACTTCTGGGAACCAGGTGCGTGGCCTTCGGCATCATGGCACCTCTGTGAGCCTTGACTTTCTCCTAAGATGGTAATATCTGGTGTTCAAGGGTGTTCTAAGGATTGGACAATCAACATAGAGCCTGGCACAGAGCTGGGGAAAAAAAAAAACCCAACAGGTTGGCTGCGATGACAATTATTTTGAAGACACAGTGAGTAGGGTCAGGTTATGGAACGGTGCCCTGCATCAAATCCTGGCTCCGATCCCCGTCAGCTGGGCTCATGTGCATAATCTACTTAACCTCTGAGCCTGTTTCTTCATCTAAAGCCAGAGTTGAGAGCGTGCCCATCTTGTTGGGGGAGTAAGTGTAGAACTCTACGTCACAAAGAAACACTTAGGAGGGCGCCTGGTTCCTGGTGACCAAGAAACGTCAGCTCTCGTGATGGTTCATCCCAGCCGCACGGTGAGGCTCCAGTTGTCGAGGAGGAAACGAAGGCTCGGAGGTTAAGTGACTTGTCCAAGGGGACCCAGGCAGCTTCATCCCTTCTAGGACGAGAAGACAGAAACGGTCCACACTGCCTTCCTCCTGCCCCAGATGGAAGCAGCGATCTGTGCTGCCCAGGTGATGCTCAGTACAGTCTGACCCGCAACGCGGTGACTCCCTCCAGGGTGACTGTGTCTTACTCATCCTTTGTGAACCGGCACCTGATGTCAGCCGGCCCCCCGAAGGTGCCGTTGACTTGAAAAGAAAGGAGGTGCCCGGGGTTGGAGCCCCGGAGCGGAAAGGGCCTCATGTGTATCTGGGGTGTCAGAGGAAAGAGTCAAAGGCGACTCCCAGGGACCGAGTCCAGGTCGGGAGGACAAGGGCGGAGCTGTTGGCACAGAACCAGAAGTTGGGAGGAGCTGATGGCTTGGGTCAGAGAGGAAAGTGAGGAAAGGGAGACACAAAGGTCAGGTTGAGACAGGTGGTGATGGAGAGTCCAGGGCCATTCACTTAGGATTCTGGGCTATGAAAGTCCACTGGCAGCTGCCCGCCCCCTCCCTGAGGACCAGCCTGTGACCTGGCCTCAAGGTCCGTGCCTTGGAGTTGTTCCTACAGGAGAGCCCTGAGACACATCCAGGAAACCACAGTGTCTAGAACACTTGCACAGCCTCCTGTCAGCGCCCAGAAAAGGAAAGGGAGTTGGTCACTCCGAGGAGAGGATGAGGAGCTGTGCATAGGGGGTGGGGAAGGGCTGGTCTAGAAGAGCTTCCCGGAGGAGGAGGGACAGGAGGAAGAGGAGGGGGAGGAAGGCAGGGCTCAGTTTTGGCCTGGAGGCAACTGCGAAGGAGGAGAGAATCAGGGGGAGATGCTTTTGGAGGGAGGATGGAGCTTCCTGCCTGTGGCTGGGATGCTGGGCATGGTCCCCAGGCCCATCCATCCTGGGGGGGGGGCATTGCTGGAGGAGGAGCCCATCACAGCTGTCGTGAGGGGGCCCCAAGGAGATCTCTAGGGCAACAGGGACAAGAATAACCATTGTAATGCACCGTTCCAGCTCAGCTTGGCTGCCTTCGCTCCCTGTGGGGGCTTTGCTTTCAGACTGGAGGACACCCGCACTCCCTCTGCCTCCC